CATATGTGCTCTACAACATTCGGAGAGTACGACCCTGCCTTACACAGGAAGCGGCACAGGTCCTAATCCAGGCACTTGTCATCTCCCGTCTGGATTACTGCAACTCGCTGTTGGCTGGGCTCCCTGCCTGTGCCATTAAACCCCTACAACTCATCCAGAATGCCGCAGCCCGTCTGGTGTTCAACCTTCCCAAGTTCTCTCACGTCACCCCGCTCCTCTGCACACTCCACTGGCTTCCAGTTGAAGCTCGCATCTGCTACAAGACCATGGTGCTTGCCTACGGAGCTGTGAGGGGAACGGCACCTCCGTACCTTCAGGCTCTGATCAGTCCCTACACCCAAACGAGGGCACTGCGTTCATCCACCTCTGGCCTGCTGGCTCCCCTACCTCTGCGGAAGCATAGTTCCCGCTCAGCCCAGTCAAAACTGTTCGCTGCTCTGGCACCCCAATGGTGGAACAAGCTCCCTCACGACGCCAGGACAGCGGAGTCACTCACCACCTTCCGGAGACATTTGAAACCCCACCTCTTTAAGGAATACCTAGGATAGGATAAAGTAATCCTTCTACCCCCACCCCCCCCCCTTTACTCCCCCCCCCCAAAAAATAATAATAATTTTAAAAAAAACATTGTAAAGTGGTTATCCCACTGGCTATAAGGTGAATGCACCTATTTGTAAGTCGCTCTGGATAAGAGCGTCTGCTAAATGACGTAAATGTAAATGTAATGTAAATGTGTTGTGTGACAAAACTGCACATATTAGAGTGGCCTTTTATTGTCCCCAGCACAAGGTGCACCTGTGTAATGATCATGCTATTTAATAATCCGATTATTGATATGCCACACCTGTCAGGTGGATGGATTACCTTGGCAAAGGATAAATGCTCACGAAAAGGGATGTAAACAAATTTCTGCCCAAAATGTGAGATAAATAAGCTTTTTGTGCGAATGGAACATTTCTGTGATCTTTTATTTCAGCTCATGAAACCAACACTTTACATGTTGCATTTATATTTTTGTTCAGTGTAGTTTTAGGCACTGTTATCATGCAATTTGGGGTAGCCACTCAGCTATTGTTGTCGGAAGAATTAATGTGGTGGTCTTCCAACATGGCCACCAGGAGGCGTCATATGCCAACTGCAAGCCCTCCATAGAGCCCCACAGTGGAAGTGTCATAATACCCATAAAACCTAGTGGTCAAACAGGGAAATGGTTCCAATCGTTTTTCCACCATTCATTTTTCCCACAGGGAATTTTAGAAACACTTAAAATAAGGGCTGTGTTTCTTGTAGGCTTACCCTGGCGTGATGTTTTGATAACCATGTAAATCTCTCTTGGACAAGGTGACTTTTATCAATATATTCAGCTCTATTTACTCTCAGATTCGAAAATGCTAATTAGCATCAAAGTAGCCATCATGCAAGACTACAAATCCCAATTCTTTTAAATTGACAGAATTGTCAATCATTACACAGGTGCACCGGCTAATTAGCATTTCATTTTTAGGGGGTAAATACAGGCGAATATATTGATAAAAGACACCTTGTCCTAGAGAGATTTACATCTCTCTAGGTTATCAAAACCTTACGCCAGGGTAAGCCTACATGAAACGCAGCCCTTATTTTAAGTGTTTCTAAAATCCCTATGGGAAAAATGAATGGTGTGAAAATGATTGGAACCATTTCCTTGCTTGACCGCTAGGTTTTATGGGTATTATGACTCATACTGTGGTACTCTATAGAAGGGTTTCCCTAAGTCGGTACAGATATAACAAAACATGCCGAAAAGCTGCTGTGTTGTTCAATGTACAGTACCAGTTAAAAGTTTGGACACACCTACTCATTCAAGGATTTTTCTTTATTTTAAATATTTTCTACATTGTAGAATAATAGTGAAGACATCAAAACTATGAAATAACACATGGAATCATGTAGCAACCAAAAAGGTGCTAAACAAATCAAAATATATTTTAGATTTTAGATTCTTCAAAGTAGCCACCCATTGCCTTGACAGCTTTGCCCACTCTTGGCATTCTCTCAACCAGCTTCATGAGGAATGCTTTTCCAACAGTCTTGAAGGAGTATGCTGAGCACTTGTTGGCTGCTTTCCTTCACTCTGCGGTCCAACTCATCCCAAACCATCTCAATTGGGTTGAGGTCGGGTGATTGTGGAGGCCAGGTCATCTGATGCAGTACTCCATCACTCTCCTTGGTCAAATAGTCCTTGCACAGCCTGGAGGTGTGTTTTGGGTCACTGTCATGTTGAAAAACAAATGATAGTCCCACTAAGCACAAACCAGATGGGATGGCGTATCGGTGCCTTGAACACCAAGGAGATAAGTTTGACTCGAATTCTAAATAAATCACAGACAGTGTCACCAGCAAAGCACCTCCTCACCATCGCACCTCCTCTATGCTTCACGGTGGGAACCACATATGCAGATATCATCCGTTCACCTACTCTGTGTTTCACGAAGACACTGCGGTTTTGGAACCAGAAATCTCAAATTTGGACTATTGGATATTTCCACTAGTGTAATGTCCATTGCTCGTGTTTCTTGGCCCAAGCAAGTCTCTTTTTCTTATTGGTGTCCTTTAGTAGTGGTTTCTTTGCAGCAATTTGACCATGAAGGCTTGATTCACACAGTCATCTCTGAACAATTGATGTTGAGATGTGTCTGTTACTTGAACTCTGTGAAGCATTTATTTGGGCTGCAATCTGAGGCGCAGTTAACTCTAATGAATTTATCCTCTGCAGCAGAGGTAACTCTGGGTCTTCCTTTCCTGTCGCGGTCCTCATGAGAGCCAGTTTCATCATAGTGCTTGATGGTTTATGCGACTGCACTTGAAGAAAGTTCTTCACATTTTCCTGATTTACTGACATTCCTGTCTTAAGTAATGATGGACTGTCTTTTCTCTTTGCTTATTTGAGCTGTTCTTGCCATAATATGGACTTGGTCTTTTACCAAATAGGGCTATCTTCTGTATACCACCCCTACCTTGTCACAACACAACTGATTGGCTCAAACGCATTAAGAAGGAAAGAAATTCCACAAATTAACTTTTAACAAGGCACACCTGTTAATTGAAATGCATTCCAGGTGACTTCCTCATGAGAGAGAATGCCAAGAGCGTGCAAAGCTGTCATCAAGTCAAAAGGTGGCTACTTGGAAGAATCTCAAATATATTTTCATTTGTTTAACACTTTTTTGGTTACTACATGATTCCATATGTGTTATTTCATAGTTTTGTTGTCGTCACTATTATTCTACAATGTAGAAAATATAAAAAAATAAAGAAAAACCCTGGAATGAGTAGGTGTGTCCAAACTTTTGATTGGTAGGTCAAAAATCCCGACCTACTTTGAAAATGCTCTCGCGTAGAGAAATAGAGGCTGTGAGAAGAGCCCTGTGGCTTCAGACTATTCAGCGTGGGAAATGTGGGGACCCGGTGTCCAAGTAGGCTATATTTAGCTGTGTGTGTGGCAAACAATTAATCACAGGTAAGACATTTAACGTTAACTTGTTTAGTGCAGTACGTTTATAACGCTACTCTTTACTTCTATCTGTTTAGTCCGTTTGTGTGTGTTGTTGGTCTTGGCTAGCTTAATGTTCCGGTCGGTAGCTAACACTCACTCAAGTGGCTGCTAGCATTGTTATGAAAAGGGGAACGTAAAGCCCTATAATATTACGTTTTTCTAAGTAGTGAGAATACTAGGGAGCAGGCAATGTTTAAAGGTAATCTTCAGACATGTTCTATTTTCTTAAATGTAGTTTTGTAGTTGACTAAAATAAGTAAACAAGATAATTGTTTACTTAAAAAAAGGTCAAAAGACGGGATTGGCTTAGATTGTTGACATGTAAACTTTCGTCTCCAAGGCTTGTTTTAAAAATAAATAAATTTGCACAATGAGCACTTGCTGTCTCAAATATATTGTTAGTTGTTGTTTAGCTAGCAAATGTTTTGCCATATTAGCGTTGCCATGAAATCAGTCAACACACCTCAAAACAAGACATTGTATCATGGAAGAGATTTTCCATGAAACCCCCACTTCTTCTTATATGGTTCCTTTCGAAACGCCTACTCATTTCGACACCCCCACTTTTCCTGAGATATCAGTAGGTGGGAGCATAGAGATCCTCAGAGATGACAGCTGGACCCTATTGAACTATCTGGCCATCCAGAATCACAGCAACACACGGGCTTCTGCCACATTGAAGCGTACACATCGTTTTTGTGGAGTTGTCAGCTAAACCATCTATAACTACTCATACTGTAATCATATAAATAACTTTTGCTCACCGTGCCTGCAATTTATCTGTACCTGTGTATTGTTCATCACTCAGTTAGTTATATTTCCTAATGGAACTAGCTAACTACTAACTTTAAGCATCAGTTGTCAGAGCACCTTACCGATCACTGCACATGTACACAGCCCATCTGAAATTAGCCCACCCAACTACCTCATCCCTATATTGTTATTTATTTTGCTCTTTTGCACCCCAGTATCTCTATTTACACACAATCTCTTGCACATCTCGCATTCCAGTGTTAATACTAATTGTAATTATTTTGCACTATAGCCTATTTATTGCCTTACCTCCATAACTTGCTACATTTGCACACACTGTATATATATTTTCTGTTGTATTTTATGACCTTATGTTTTTTTTTTACCCCATATGTAACTCTGTGTTGTTGTTTTTATCGCACTGCTTTGCTTTATCTTGGCCAGGTCGCCGTTGTAAATGAGAACTTGTTCTCAACTGGCTTACCTGGTTAAATAAAGGTGAAATAAAATAAAACAAATAGCTAGAAGATACATTTTATAGAAGCCATTTAACGTTACTTACCAACTTTCTTTACGTATCCACACGTCGGAGTTTTATTTATTTTTTAAAGTCAAAAAACAGGTTACTCATACACGGGTCTATTAGTCGCAAGGCATTTCATTTTCATTGTAGAGCAGAATAACTCGTATTCTGCCAACCTTGTTGTGTTAGGGGTTAGCCAACACAACAGGCCACTACGCACGTGTTTGACGTTCATAATCGCCACTTCTGGTCACGTTACTGCCACCTGCTGGGAGGAATGCATGGTACTCTGCACTAGGGGGCAGCAGAGTACCATTCATGAAAATCATCTGCATAACAGCGAGAGAGGAAGAACGAATTCGACATCAACAACAAATGTCGGATCAATACGCCACCGTCCAGAAAGGCTCCCTGAAATTGAAAGGAATAGGCGTTGTTTCCGCGGGTAAAAAGTATGTATTTCATGTTATTGTTACTTATAAATAAATGTGCTCTTAACATTGTCCACACCTAACTATGTTTAAAATGGAGTCAAAGAGCAACGTAGCTAGCTAGCTCTCTGTCCCTATATACCAGCAGCTAATACAGCTAAAACAATGCAGCTAGAACAATGAGCCAGATGTTTCGACGGATGTATAAATGTGAAGCATCAGGTTGGCTTTTCCACTCACTACCAAATATGGTGATGAGAGCAAGGCCAGTGAACGGAAATGGGAGCGAGATTAATTTTGGCCTACATTTCTGCAAATGTTTTCATCAATGAAACATTTGATCTCCATACAGTTTTCTGTTTCCAAAATTAGAATATGTCACAAACAGACTGGACTGCGTTTTATAGACTTTACCATTTGCCAAAGTTTCATTTTTTGTTTTGTTTAGTAGTGCGCGGACGAATTGCGTTATTGCACAAGCGCACTTCAGAGTAAGCGTTCCCTAACGTAAATATGCAAATAAATGCTAGAACGCGCCAATAGATCTCACTAGCTAGTGCTTGGCTCTGCCCACCTGCTTGCTTGTTCTGCCCACTATTATTCATTCGCTTCCATTGGAAACGACAGACTCTGGTCTATTTTGGGTTAGATATAAAAAATCTTTGCCAGCTAAGCTAACCAGCTAACTATCAAACATGGTAACAACGGCTAAATCATCTTTTGTTCACTGTAAATAGTTACATAGTGTTAGCCTTCTCAAATGCATGTAGCTTTTAAGTGCAAGTAAACAAACATATAAGCTAAACACTCTGTAGCTCAGCTGGTAGAGCACAGCGCTTGTAACGCCAGGGTAGTGGGTTCGATCCCCGGGACCACCCATACACAAAAAAATGTATGCACGCATGACTGTAAGTCGCTTTGGATAAAAGCGTCTGCTAAATGGCATATTATATTATTATATTATAAGACAGTCATGAAGAGGGCACGACTAAGCCTATTCCCCCTCAGGAGACTGAAAAGATTTGGCATGGGTCCTCAGATCCTCAAAGTTCAACAGCTGCACCATCGAGAGCATCCTGACTGGTTGCATCACTGCCTGGTATGGCAACTGTTCGGCCTCCGACCGAAGGTGTCAGAGGAATGCCCTAAAAATTGTCAGACTCCAGCCTCCCTAGTCATAGACTGTTCTCTCTGCTACCACACGGCAAGCAGTACCGGAGCGCCAAGTCTAGGTCCAAAAGGCTTCTTAACAGCTTCTACCCCAAAGCCATAAGACTCCTGAACAGCTAATCAAATGGCTACCTGGACAATTTGCATTGTTTCCACCCCCTCTTTTACGCAGCTGCTACTCTGTTTATTATCTAGGCATAGTCACTTGAACTCTACCTACATGTACATATTACCTCGACTAACCTGTGCCCCTGCACATTGACGTCTCTGTACCGGTACCCCCTGTATATAGCCTCGCTACTGTTATTTTACTGCTGCTCTTTAATTATTTTAATTTTTAATTGTTTACTTATCTATTTTTTACTTAACACTTATTTTTCTTAAAACTGCATTGTTGGTTAAGGGCTTGTAAGTAAGCATTTCACTGTAAGGTCTACACCTTTTGTATTCGGCGCATGTGACAAATAAAATGTGATTTGATTTGGTGTAGGCTAGCTATGTAGATATGTAGCAGGCTAGCTCGCTAACTCCTCACTAGCAACCCTTCATCTGTTGGCATTATTTTACTATTTTAGAAAGAAGAAGAAGGACAAGGAGAAGAAGCGTTGTTTGGAGCAGCAAATTAATACAAATAAAAACGAAGAGGAGGAGACCAAGAGTGGATACATTGACAAAAGAACACCAGCTCAAATGGCTTTTGACAAGATGCAAGAGAAGAGGGTAATAATCATTGTCCTAAATGTATTGTCCTATTGATGTTCTAGCACTGAAATAGAGAGACATTGTTAGTCATGGGATAAAAAATACCTACTTCCTGCTTACAATACCAGAATTCACACCCTACTTTTTCAATTTCTTTCAGCAAATGGAGAGAATTTTGAACAAAGCAGAAAAAACTCACAAGCGGAGAGTTGAGGTAAGACCTTATTATTTGAAAACATCTGCATTAATTTACTGTAATTCAGAAAACCCTTTTGGGGAGATTTGAGTTCTACAAACCCCTGGCATTGACTATAAACAAAGTTATTTTTGTTGTATTGCAGGATTTCAACCGTCACCTGGACTCCCTGACAGAACATTACGATATTCCTAAAGTCAGCTGGACCAAATGAAGAGGAATCCTGGATCACTTTAATTTTAGAATGTGCTTTAGAAGTTAATTTTTTTTGCCCATTGTTACCCATGCGGTGTCATTTCTGTTGTACATTAAAGTCATTTTATAATGTGGTAATTTGTGTGAATATATTTTGGTTCCTTACGTAGAATTATACTAGATTACATTTACATTACATTTTAGTCATTTAGCAGACGCTCTTATCCAGAGCGACTTACAGTTAGTGAGTGCATACATTATTTTCTATTTTTCATACTGGCCCCCCGCGGGAATCGAACCCACAACCTTGGCGTTGCAAACGCCATGCTCTACCAACTGAGCTACATCCCTGCCGGCCATTCCCTCCCCTACCCTGGACGACGCTGGGCCAATTGTGCGCCGCCCCATGGGTCTCCCGGTCGCGGCCGGCTATGACAGAGCCTGGATTCGAACCAGGATCTCTAGTGGCACAGCTAGCACTGCGATGCAGTGCCTTAGACCACTGAGACATGAATGCTGCTGTAATGTGTATTTAATTAAACTGAGTTACTTTTCCTTGTCTGGAAATGCAGTTATTTATTAACCTTAAATTGATTACATTAGTATTGGCTGTGTAGTTCATTGCTGTCAAGATTGTACAATTAAATTTAGATCGAAACGCAAGAGACCAGAGGCATTTTGTAAAGTAGAGGGCAGAGCTTTGGTCTCTTATAACGTCACATGCATAAGTACGTACAGTGGAGTCTCTCAATATATTAATTACAGTGAGCATAATTGGTAATATAAAAAAATATGAAGCAAATTCTATCTAATTATGATAAATTATGTATGAAGGCAACAACGTGTGTTGGGAATATGCAGCGATAGCTTCCCGGAAGTAGGGCAGTATAAGCGTTTGTGTTTTCCGGTTTGTGACGTGTACAGAAAATATTTTAAATGTTAGCAAAGATTTTCTATTATATTGACAAGATAGTCGAGTAACCACTCTTAACAATGGAAATACTTATCCTCAAAGGTTGAAGGCAGGCGGGAGGAGGCGATATAAGGTGGGACCACTAGCTAATAAGAGGGCAGATACGCATGTGAACAACAAGCAGAACTCCGATATAAAGTAGTTTTGTTTTTGCCGAAATACCACGTACGTTAGTTCATTCGTAACAATCGAACACGAAACTTCTATTTGATCAAATAAGCAATTCATTTTTTGTTGTTGACCAAATTCGACACTCATTGGCGGACTTGTTTTCGTGGACAAAATGTGGGCGGAGTAAATTCTCTCGTTTCGCTTCTTCCTCTCTGATGTTAGCAGGCGACACCTAGCACTCCTAGGTGGATGCTACCGTACCGCCACATGTTTTTGTATTTTATTATTTAGATATTATACATATATTTCACCGGTACCAACTCGTAGTAAGTTACGACGAGCTAAAAGCAAAATGTCAGCAAGTGCGGTGTATGTGTTAGACCTCAAAGGCAAGGTAAGAGGACATGATATTTGCTTAGCTAGCTTAATCTAAAATGGTTCACATATGTTTACTAATGCATCGCATAATTTGATGGTCAAAGTACAATATATAGCTAGCAACTTTACGTTCTAAGAAAAATATACAACAGTGAATTTGAGATGGCTAGTTTTTTATGTTGACACGGGAAATTAATCATATGCATTGTAGCTAGTTTCTTAGCTAGCAGCTAACCCACCAGCTAGACTGGATTGGGATGGACTGGTTCAATGGATCACGTGATGTATTGTGGCCAAATTCTGCATGATAATGGTTGTGGTGGCCATATGAACAGTATACTCTATCACAAGCTTGACAAGGATGTCATCATGATCTCCAACATTTGCCTCCATCCAAAGGCCTGTTTTGAGAATGAAAACACACTCCATGTGAAGGCTCAAATGCATAGTCCAGTTAGACCCATGTAGATTTTTGTGTTCCATATCAAAGACACTTGAAGATATGAAAACATGATGCCAGTTCAGGATGTCATCAGGAGGCACATACCATGTAGGATGGAGAGATAGCTAGAGAAGTAAGTTCCTGTTGATTTTGTTTCACCTCTCCAGGTTCTGGTTTGTCGTAACTACAGAGGAGATGTGGACATGTCAGAGATTGAGCACTTTATGCCCATCCTCATGGACAGAGAGGAGGAGGGCAACTTATCCCCTATCCTGGCCCACGGAGGGGTCCGCTTCATGTGGATCAAACACAACAACCTGTACCGTATCCTTACTGCCACTCACTCAACCTCTCACAAAGGGGATTAGAATGACTACTGCCTCAGTATTCCTTTGCCTTTCCAATATAGAGTCCCCAATACAAATGGGAAACCGTTCCATATCTTGCTCTGGGAAAAAGGGAGAGTGATGGTTGGTTTGATTGCTTAGGTCAAAGTACTACTACTCTCGCTGAGAGCTGAAGCAATGGATAGGTTCACTTCTTGCAAATTCCACTTTATTGAGGTAGATACAAGTCGACTCATGTTGACAGCCCCACATCAACTTTTCACCTTAACAAATGTTCCATCAGTTGTAGCAACGTCTAAGAAAAATGCCTGTGTCTCCTTGGTCTTCTCTTTCCTCTACAAAATTATCCAGGTGAGTTGCGATAAGTCTGTCTATAATGGTGTGCAGTGGTCTTATTTTCCAATAACCCATAGGTAATTACTGGTGGTTAACTGGTAAGAAATGTGTTGTATCTAGACTCAGTCTATTGTCTCTGCAGGTTTTCTCAGAGTATTTTAAAGAGTTGGAAGAGGAGAGTATCAGAGATAACTTTGTCATCATCTATGAGTTGATGGATGAGCTGATGGACTTTGGCTACCCCCAGACTACTGACAGCAAGATCCTTCAAGAGTGAGTATCCTTTCTAGCCCTTAATCTGTCTACAACACTCTTGTCTCTGTACAAACCTATGTTTAGCTTCCATTAAACAGTTTAAAATTCCTCCAAGTTAAACATGATAAAATAATGTAGTAGTGACCTACAGTACTGTATGTACAGTTTCTTACATTTCACCTAAACACCCAGTATGACAGACAGTTCCTCTTAGTTTTGTCCTGTCCTCTCACCCGGTCTGTCTTTGTTGGTTTGTAGGTACATCACCCAAGAGGGGCACAAGCTGGACACAGGGGGCCCGCGCCCCCCTGCCACCGTCACCAACGCTGTGTCCTGGAGGTCAGAGGGCATCAAGTACAGGAAGAATGAAGTCTTCCTGGATGTCATTGAGTCTGTTAATCTTCTGGTGCGGCACCTTGTCACGTCGTGTTCTAAGTCTAACACTCGCCTCCCTCTAATACAGTCTTCTCTATGACAAAATTATTCAGTGTTTCATTGAAGTACTATCAACCATTTTCAACTTAGACGCATTTCTGCAATTGTTGTAAACGGTCTGACACTTCTCCCCCTTTCTTTCCTCTGTGCAGGTCAGTGCAAACGGTAACGTACTGCGCAGTGAGATCGTGGGCTCCATCAAGATGCGTGTGTTCTTGTCAGGGATGCCTGAGCTGCGTCTGGGCCTCAACGACAAAGTTCTGTTTGAGAACACTGGCCGTGAGTTCCTCTGCACTCTGCACACAGTTTGCCACTGTGGATGGGTTACAGTTCAGTTAAAAGACATGCATGTCAGATTTCAAAGCTGTTTGTCTGTATTCTCAGACCTAATTTTAGACACTAACGCGTGACTTAGCCTTTTGCTTAGAATTTCCCATAGACATCATTGCATAATTTTGTTGTATGCAGTGCACACATATTTCAAGTTATGATTCAGCTCTTACCTCTAATCAATTTAAATTCCAAACAGAGCTTTCGTTTTTCTCAGATGACTGTACTTGTACCACGTACAATCCTCTCATGCCCTGACTCTCTCTGTGGCTATGCTCACCACAGGAGGGAAGAGTAAATCAGTGGAGCTGGAGGACACGAAGTTCCACCAGTGTGTGCGTCTGTCCCGCTTTGAGAATGACCGCACCATCTCCTTCATTCCCCCCGATGGAGAGTTTGAGCTCATGTCCTACCGCCTCAATACACACGTATGTACTGTATGAGAGAGAGGCCAGTTTAATTTGATTAGATGGGCTTGTTGTTATGGGTCTGTTTTACAGACAAAGATGACTTCTTAGACAAAAAACCATGCTTCATGGAGATTCTCCATCGAAAGGGCTTCTTAGTCCAAGACTAGGTTTTATCTCTGTCTGTGTTACCGCCCCTTTAAGGGATGGGCATGCAATTAGAAGTGTACAAATTAAAGCTGAAATCCGTACTTGGTGAAACTGCCATGTCCGTTTGCAATATTAAAACAATAAAGAAGTTACTTCAAACAACGAACACTGTTTTTTACCTCGGGCATTGCACATCATTGCACGAGCGATAGAACAGCAGAGTATGTACTGCTCAAATTTTCGCCTAAAATGACATACCCAGATCTAACTGCCTGTAGCTTAGGACCTGAATCAAGAATATGCATATTCTTGATACCATTTGAAAGAAACACTTTAAAGTTTGTGGAAATGTGAAATTAATGTAGGAGAATATAACACATTAGATCTGGTAAAAGATAATACAACCAAAAAAACATGCGTTTTCTATTAGTTTTGTTGTTCCATCTTTGAAATGCAAAAGAAAGGCCACAATATAATATTGCGGTTTGGTGCGATTTAGATTTTGGCCACTAGATGGCAGCAGTGTGCGCGCAAAGTTTTTCAAATTGATCCAGTGAAGCGTTGCAATACTGGACTATTTTGTATCAAGTCTGCCCAAATGTGCCAAATTGGTCAATTGATACATTTTCAAGTACATAACTATAGAGAACATACAAAAATTATATGGTAATACAAAATGTATGTTTACACACTCCCAGGAATGTCATACATGATGGATCATTAGCTTATACACTAACTTTCACACATCTAGATGGCCGGGTAGGGTGGGTGTGGAGCCAGAGACGGCAAAGGTTCAAACTGTAGAACCCAGTTCCTACATTTGAATATAAAAATGGATTTTATCAAACAAAACTATGCTACATTTTATCTCTGGGACCCTCAGGATGACCAATCAGATCAAGATTACTGAATGTAAGTACATTATTTACCTTCAGAGGTGAATGTATCAAACCAGTTGCCGTGCTAAGTTTTTTGTTGTTGTGCACTCTTCTCAAACAATAGCATGGTATTTTTTCACTGTAATAGCTACTGTAAATTGGACAGTGCAGTTAGATCAACAAGAATTTAAGCTTTCTGCCCATATAAGACATGTCTATGTCCTGGAAAGTTTGCTATTACTTACAAGTCATGCTAATCACATTAGCGCACGTTAGCTCAACCGTCCCGTATATGGGACACCGATCCCGTAGAGGTTAAGGAATTACTCATGTATTTATGCGTATGAGATTGTGACATTATGACATGCCATTTTGCATGTACAAGAAAGATGTGTCAATGCAGAAATTACCCTTTCGTTGTATTGATTAGTTTTTTTTTTTTTAAGCCTATGAAATGTATTGTCCCCAGGTGAAGCCCCTGATCTGGATAGAGTCTGTGATAGAGAAACACTCCCACAGCAGGATCGAGTACATGATCAAGGTAAACACCAGCCCTGCAACGTTACCCAGCAGCTAAGATAACAGTATGCTCTGGTATCAAATCAATAGTTAACCACAAAGCTATCATAAACGCAAATGGCATGATATTCAGAAATGCTGTATATTAATCTCTCTTTTTCTGTCTAAGGCTAAGAGTCAGTTCAAGAGGCGGTCCACGGCCAACAACGTGGAGATCCACATTCCAGTTCCCACAGATGCGGACTCGCCCAAGTTCAAGACCACGGTGGGCAGTGTCAAGTGGATCCCAGAGAACAGTGAGGTCGTCTGGTCCATCAAGTCATTCCCGGTGAGTACAACAACACACTGGACCGCATGCTAGTGTAGACCATAGTTCTCAAAGTAGGGTTCTTTGAGAGTCTGAACATAACCACAAAAATCTAAAGTGTCACTTAACTAACCTGGATACAATCCTAACTCTTGCTCTGTTTTGTTTTGTCTTGTCTCAGGGGGGTAAGGAGTATCTGATGAGAGCCCACTTCGGTCTGCCAAGTGTGGAAGCAGAGGACAAGGAGGGGAAGCCCCCCATCAGTGTCAAGTTTGAGATCCCCTACTTCACTACGTCTGGCATCCAGGTGAGCATCCTTACTGCAGTACCTCTTCTATCCACCAGGGGTCTCTTGTTGCTGTTAGTGGGAGACTGGGAATCATTCTAACACAGGATGGCGCTGTTGTAACACAGATGAGGTCTGACTGCTCGCGCTGAGAACCTGAGGTGTGCTTGAGATCGTGCTTGGTTTGTGCTTCAAAGACTGGTGTCGTGTGTGTGTGTGTGGTTCTGTTGTAGGTAGAACTGCTGTCATTTTAAATACAGACCGTACAACAGACAAACTGTCAGTCAACCAACACAAAGAACAACATCCCTTCATCACTGTAGCGTTGGCCTGGCGGGTCTCTGTCAGAGAACATATCTACACTAGAGAGCTAAGATGTTGACAAGCAGCACTCAAAAGGATGTACACACATTCAAATAGTTCTGCACAGATACTGTATAGCTAGCATCAGGCAACTGCTAAAAAAGAAAAACTGATCCACACGCTCACTGCTTTTAGGACTGACTTTGTTTTGCTCTGTTTTATTGAGACATTGTTTCTACCCATAATACTCAGACCTAATGGCCAAAAGGTAGTAGATGGGATGGTTAAGATGAGGACAATTAGGAGCACAGTACCAGTGTGCAGGTCCTTTTTTATGTTGGGTGGTGTTCTGGATCAGTGTCAAGCTCTCCCTGACAGCCCTCTGCTTCCAGATCTGATACCAGGGAAATTACATCAGAGCCCAGAGAATCAAAGGAAAGCCTTTTCGTTGGCTCAGTGGTGGGTTCGCTCGCCTCGTGTCTTTGTTTCCCAATTTCCTGGTGAAAAACGAGCATGGCAAATTTATTATCGGGACGCACACCCTCACAACAGCACTAAAACAAACCGTTTGCGTCTCCATACAGGAATACAAAGCTATGAAGTCGACACATTACATCATTGTAGGGATTAACATGGGTAACTGGGATCCCGGGACTGTCCCGGGAACACTCTTCACATTTCCCCCCCCCCAAAAAAAATGACAAGACCCGGGAAATTACATTTTACCCCAAAGTGGCTAATGCAATTCCACAAAAGCAGATTAGCAAAAAATAAAATAGCACATTATCCAAACAGGTTGTTGCATGGAGTCTAGCATATTTACTTCACACAAAGTCACCATAAATTCAAAGCACACACATAATTGACACTGCCGGACTGCACACGCGACCTGAATGCCGTTAATAAACCCTACAGGAAACCCCTACTGTATAGCCTATTTTAAAAAATTTGCCTCTGAGTTATCATTGTGATTCTTCAGACAGTCACAAATTTGATAGGCCCCTATGCACAATACATTACATCTGTCACAGTCTGTTAACAATTCAGTGGCATGAGGGAAAATTCTATCTTCTCCTGTCATAGCGCCTAGGCTATTTTCCAATCCAGTCCCAATCCCACTGAAACCCAAAATCCTGACTCCTGTCTCGCATGGAAATTCCTAACTTTATTCTGTAATCCATAGGTTGCATTATCAAAGCACGTCTTTTTCCTATGCATGTCAAAATACAGCTATAGCTTCTCTCGTACTTGCTGCCCATATGAGAGCTTCGGTAGAGAATGTCAAATCAAATCAAATTTTATTGGCCACATGCGCCGAATACAACAGGTGCGATCAACAAACGGTATGAGAGTATATATGGATATTATTTAAAAAGAGGTTTTCCCTGTTAAGATACCTTTTTAAAAACATTTCCACTCTTCATCTCCCTGTGATTCATAAGCTGATCTGCTATCTATATAATCATCAACTCGATTTCGCCAAATATTGGAGATATTCTGTCATTCGTTGAAGGATGTTATCTAGCAAGCTTAGCAACTTTGTTCTTTTTACTTTTGTTTGACTGCCGTTACAAAGTTTGTATGATTCGACAACTCTATACTCTGTGCGTCTTGAGCGCGCTCTGTGTTGAGATTACCACTGCTGAAATGCACTGAATTAATTGAGGAACATGAGAACGCTCTGAATTTATGAATGGCCTGTTTCGCAGTTCACAACAATGTAATTGTTGATCAAAGATTGTTACTCTATCATTACTAAATATCAGTTTCATTTTCTCTGATATCTTCACATAGTGGCGCAGCCAAGCCGACAAGGTGGCGCAGCACCCTTCATATTTGGGGAGAACCCAGGCATTTTTACAATATCTTGGTTTTAAACGCTTTAAATTGGCAATTTGTGGACTCCAGAAAGAGTAGCTATTGCTTCTGCAAAACGAATGGGGATCCAAATAAACAAAAACGCCTGATTTTTGTGGTATTTCCCAGGACTCTTGGGATGAATATGAATTATCTTTGGGAAAATATGAATCCTTACATCATTGTGCTGCAGCACTGTGTTTTTTAGCTGGACCTGCACAACATTTGCAGCCTTAGTAACAACTACCCTAGATTTTAAAGTTTGCCGAGGGACATCTCAGCTAAGCTGCCATGCATTGGGGCTAAACACAAATTAGGCACTTTGGGGGTGCAGGGAGTTGGATATTACAGTTGAGTTAAGAGTCAGTAAAGCAGGAGAAACTCAAGCCTGTTATCTACACCTCCATTGTGTCGTATTCTAAATAAATGTGACATGCTAGCTCACAGTGGTGATATCAGTTCACATGGCTGGAAAGCAGCATTGGTGTCTGGTGGTTACCTCACCTTCCATAGCAGGTTTATGTGTGCGTTGGGATGATTTCCTTTCTTTTGTGAGAGCGTATGACAAAACCTTTTTCAATAGGCTTTGTTCCATGTATTCACAGGGCCTCTGTCTTGCCTGTAAAGCCACAGGATATATTACCTGATCTCTATCTGGATTTACCGTCTATGCAAATTCTCTAAATTCACTGTCAAACTGTTTTAATAAATTAGACATGATCTACCCAATATAGTTATCATTTTGAACATATTTCTATACACACATGTTAAAGAGCCAAACATGCTCTGCTAAATAAGAGTTTTTCTCAGTTTTTTGTGTCATTCCCAAATCAATATTCTGCAGTGGCATCCCACACAGAATTGAAAGACAGAGGATTAAATTACACTTTGCTTGAATTTCTCTGGAAATGAGGAGGTTTTGGCACTAATGGAAAATGAGAGCTTTCATAATCAAATGGATCGACTGAGAGACATTGACAGTGTCTTCCTGTTGTAGTGTTCTACCAGACAATGTTCACCGAACGGTTTCATCATCACTACAAGATGCACTCGTAACGTAGCCACACTTATTTAACCCTAGTGGTGGCACCTTGAGGAAAGGGTTGCTTGTAAACCGCAGCCCCTCAAAATAACTCACTCAACCAGAGATCAATGGAGCCTTCATCAGAGATGCTACTGGAAGCTACTATTTAGGGGTTTTGATGAGGAGCTATTTTGTGGCCCTCGCTGACCCCAAGGCCGCTTCGCTGGTGTTCCAGGGCCTCTTGAACTGTGCAGAGCCCCTGTGGTCGCTCCAACGGAGCCCACCGCACGCCACCAAGGTTCTCTGCTAGCATTGAGGGAACATTTATGCAGCCTGGGCTTATTACAGGGAGCGCGCCATTTACTGCTCAGTGTGTGTGTGTCTGTGGGTGCGTGCCTCTGCATATGCCTGGCTGCATGTGTGAGCATGTGTGCACACTCACTCTCCACGCTCCCTTGTCTCTCACACACGACACACAGCACAAAAAAAAAGAGGAACCACATCATCAACTCCTTGATTAGACAGCGTGGTATATCAAAGTGGTGTTTTACCCCACCGCCAGCCAGGCCTACAGGCAGATGTGCATTAAGCCCCCCAGCCATATCCTATCTGAGGTAGAAAAGGGAAGTTTACCACCAGAGCGGTTTGGGCTGCTCTAGAGGCAGAGGCTGCCGGGTTTCTTTATAGCCTGCTGATGGTAGGGGGGGAAGCCACATCAGGGCTCATCTGTCCCCCTCCAGGGGATAATTACAGCCAGGTTCCCCCTCCCCTCAGACACAGTGGCGTGGCCCACCAGCCCCTCAGAGAGATGTACTCCATATAGGCCTAGTCAACCACCAGAACAGAACGCATGGCCAACTGCAAGTATTCATTATTTACAGTAAATATATCATAGTCCATATCATGTACTGAATAAAAAACTGGCATTGTGTATGAAAATAAGAACTATATTTGGCACAGATATCATCACGGATATCCTGGAAAGTAGATATTCTGGTGTTGTACCAATTTGACATGCCCAAGAAAAGCGATTGATGGATGTGCCTTTGCTGTAAGTTTTGTAAGCAGATGATAATTTGATCTTCATTTAATGTAAATAAACTGTTCTTACTGTTATAAACAGAAATGATTAGACATCTATCAGTAGTTAGTAGAACTGTCATGTAGGTTTAGTTGTTTCAAAAGAGATCTTAAAAACAAGTTGTTTGTTGGACCATGGGTGACAGATTCATTGACTATTTTTGCTTGAGCATTCATTGAAGCTCTTACCTCATGCTGATCAAATCAAATAGCTGTTGAAAAGGTCAATTGTCTACCAGATAGCCTAGAGAAACCGCTTGTTCTAAATAACTACTGTCTCTGTATTCACATTCTCTAACATCTCAGAGAAATCCTTAAACACTGAGGACACATTCATCCCCAAGATAAATATGCTATATTTCAAGAGGGTGTCCTTGAAATATGACATTTTTAGCTTGGTCCGAATGTGTCCGAAACTTTGGAACGAATGTGTGAAAATGTTTGCCAAATCGTGCCCGCTTTGGTCTTACAGTAGTTTAGAACAACAAGCATCTAAATTTGTAAGGCACCAGACTACTTAGACATAGAGTAGTAGGCTACACCTCGATTTAGCTGCATTCATTACAGCATCACATCAGCCAACCTTGTTACTGTCTGCGACTAACTGGTAGTGTAGGAATAAGAAGCTACCAATTTCACCACCGGCCGTGTAGAGTTGTAGACGGGTCAACTAATGTTGGAGACTTCAGGACGAGAAAAGAGGTCTGTCCTTGTTTCACCCTGTGGGTACTATTCCTGCATCTCTTTTGATCAAGGCTATTTCTCACTATGACTTGGTATTGTTGGCTAAACATAGAAACTATGAAATATTAGGACAGTTCAACGTTGAATTGGCTCAGTTAGCATATCACTTTTAGGCAAGATAGGAGACTAAAGGTTAGCATGATTCAAGATAGGAGACTAAAGGTTAGCATGATTCAAGATAGGAGACTAAAGGTTAGCATGATTCAAGATAGGAGACTAAAGGTTAGCATGATTCAAGATAGGAGACTAAAGGTTAGCATGATTCAAGATAGGAGACTAAAGGTTAGCATGATTCAAGATAGGAGACTAAAGGTTAGCATGATTCAAGATAGGAGACTAAAGGTTAGCATGATTCTGGCTGATAAAAGTATGGATGTATCAATATAGGCCAGAGGTAATGGAAGTGTTGGACAAAAACGTCATTCATAATCTTTAGTGATATGTATGAGGTGATCGCACAATTGAGGGTAGTTGGGGAGTGTCAACATGATAACCACCAGGCCATTCTGATGGGCCTTGTTGGCTTGCTTTGACCTGCTAGCACCCCTGTTCTGCCAATGACAGCCACTAGACCTAACTGATGTTAGCTTTGAACTGCCAGCACTGAGATCCTCCTGTTCTCACAACGTCTAGACTGCAGACACACACACACAGCTCTGAGACCGTTCAGACAGTCCTATATGCATATAGACATATTCATTCTGCATTGTGTATTGGCCGTGTGATCTGCCTCAAACACCCTTTAGAGCTTAAATCACACTTGAAATAGGCATGGTGCGTAAATGGGAGGCGATTTCTACAGCTCACAGTCCAAAAACAGCCCTAGTCTGACATGGATAATGTCAGGTCAGCAGACCGATCTACCTCTGTGGAGTAAATGTGTTTGTATCCAACTAGGTTGCCTTTGCACCAGAGTGCAGGATCATAGCCTTTTTGGAGAGGAATGGAGCAGCTCCCTGTTATGAGACAAACCACCTTGTGTGTCTTGGAGGCAGGTTATGTCCTGATACTGGCAGTGTTCACACCTTTCTGAGAGGAACATGAAGGATGTGTTTTGGGTGCCCGACTGCATGCCTGTTGCATCTTCATCAGGACCCCCAGACAGACGGACCACACCCAGAGGTGTTCGTTGAGGAGCCTGTAAGGGCCTGTGTCCTGTTGTAGTGTGGGTTTCTTCATTACGGCCCAGTTATGATTTATGGTACCCTTGGTGTAAAGTGTTTCACTCCCTAATGCAAAAACGATCATCTTTCCCATATGGTGTTGATAAAAGGCTCAGTATTTATGTGAAGAGAGCTGGGCTGCGGTGCGGTGTGCTGTGGCCATTTACACATCGTCAAATCTGTCTGTCAGTGTAATTCTCGGGGCCATTATTGCAAGTCTTTTATACTGGGGAAGATTTAAGGCGTAATCCCCCACTCTCATGTTCTGTTAGAATCTCTGAATGCCTCAAGGTGCTCCCCGTTTCAACGAAAGCCCAGCCATGAAACAATAAGGAACTGTTTTACGATGGGGGAATATGAAGCTCAATCCACTGATAAGCTCACCACAGAGATAAGCATGCTAAATATATTGTTTGTTTTATAGGCCTCAGTGTAAAATAATGAGATTTTAATGACAGTTGCATTCTCATGTGTTCTGCTTACACTCACAGTTATGCAATATGTGTGCCCTTGGTGGGTCTTGTTCAATAGGTTGTAGTTTCACAAGAAGGGCAAGTGAAGAATTTATGAAATTTCACATAGGATTGGGAAGTGCCAGTTCCCTAATTTGTATTAATATCGAAAAGTTTCTTAACCACTTCTTCATACCAGCTAATTTCTCTCTTGAATGTGAGAATAGTTCCCATCATCTGCAGACGTTTACTTTGTTTACAGGGCATATATGACCTTATGGGTGTAACTTGGCATTGTTAAAGGTAGTATTTTAAGTGGATGTAAAAAAGAATCTTCCTTGTAAAAACAACACAGTATCATGTACAGTTAACCCTATTTTGTTATATTCAATGTACTTGACTGGTTTTCCAAACAGGCTCAGATTGACATTAAATAAACTGAGTGTACAAAACATAAGAAACACCTTCCTAATATTGAGTTATATTGAGCACCCCCTTTTACCCTCAGAACAGCCACAATTTCTCGGAGTATGGACTCTACAAGGTGTTGAAAGCGTTCCACAGGCATGCTGGCCCTTCTTGAGTCCAATGCTTCCCATAGTTGTGTCAAGTTGGCTGGATGTCCTTTGGGTGGTGGACCATCCTTGATACACATGGGAAACTGTTGAGCGCCAAAAACCCAGCAGCGTTGCAGTTCTTGACACTCAAACCGGTGCACCTACTACCATACCCCGTTCAAAGGCACTTAAATATTTTGTCTTGCCCATTCACCCTCTGAATGGCACACATACACAATCAATGTCTCAATTATCTCAAGGCTTAAAAACTCTTCTTTAACCTGTCTCCTCCCTTTCATCTACACTGATTGAAGTGGATTTAACAGGTGACATCAATAAGGGATCATAGCTTTCACCAGGATTCACCTGGTCAGTTTATGTAATGGAAAGAGCAGGTGTTCCTAGTGTTTTGTACACTCAGTGTATGTACTCTAATTACTCCCTTTAATCACTGTTTGCGCTCAGTGTGATGATGGACATACACAGTGTGATGTTTGTTTGCTCACTCTTGTTTTTAGGTGCGCTACCTGAAGATCATTGAGAAGAGTGGCTACCAGGCTCTGCCATGGGTTCGATATATCACACAGAACGGAGGTAAGGCTGAACTAGACATTCACACCAAACCTCCCAATGAAGACTGACCCTTAACCCACCATACTGTAATCATGATCTCTCATTATCCCACCCACCAAACATCTGCATGTGAAACGCACTGTCATCTACCATCAATCGTATGCGTTGAACTATGCATGTCTGAACTGCCACGTGGCTCTGCTCCTGTACTCTGGCTCTTCTGCTTCTGGGTGGGCCCCCCACGTTGCTCTGTTGCCCCGCACATAAGTGTTGAGGCTTTTACTGGTTTCAATAGTTTTAGTAATTACAGCACTGAATGTTGCTTCAGGGACCGTTTTGCCCTGCCAGGAATAAGTCTAGGGGACACTGCTACCAAGTGGTCTGCAACGTCCGTCACTGGATTTTCCCCTGCTTCATGCAGTTGCTGTGTGTGGTTCTGTTATCTACTGTACGCCATGTTGTAAGGCGCTATAGTACAGTCGGCAGTCCGTCTCTCTCCAGACCTCTCTTCCTGATCAGGTTATCTGTGCAGGTGGTCTGAGACAGGGGCCCCTCCCCTCCCGACTCTGATTGGCAGGAAGGAAGCATCCAGGAAATAGAGTTGTTCTTGGCGGCCGCTGGCCATCTGTCGTACGTACTACACCCCAACTAATGGCTGTCTTACTTATACACCGGCCCCCGCAGAGCAGAGCCAACCAACATATTCATTACCTCCGATATCAACCAGAGGAAGGCATTCGTCTCCGCCGACAGCCTCTCGACTGGACGTTTGTTTTGATACTTTGTCAATCGGGGGGTTGAATATTTTGTTCCGGGCGGTCTTTGGTGTCTACTCCATGCAAGGCCAAACTACAGGTCCTGGCTTTGTTGTTGTCTGTGCGTGTGGCTTGAATCCAGTCTATCTGAATCGCTGACTCGCTGATCCTAATGGAATTCATGTCAATGTTTTCACTACAGTGAAAGTAGATTAAACGGACAAGAAACAATATCTCCAGTGATCCATTCTCACCAGAAAGTATCATGATATTTGACAATATGAATCCCGGCAATTATATGGCTCCATTTTGTCTCAATCCCCTCTGAAATAGATGAGTTCCACCTCCATTGTCTGCGAGGAGAGCGAAAGCCAACACATGCTGAAGCGGTTAAGAATGATGCTGCAACTCTGACATTGATACTATCTTTTGCAAGAGTGAAAAAAGGGAAGAAAAACACGGAAGGGGGGAAAAGCTCAGAGGTCCCAGAGGACTGAGAGAACCTGCTAGCGTAGCGAGAGGGGAGGGCCGGCCGGAGAGGCTTTTGCCAAACGATGGTGACCTCTCCAGTTTGGGGTTAGCGGATGACGAATGTAGGCAGCCCACAGGGACTCCATGTGCACGCCCTTGCTCTTAAATGTTTATCTTACCTTATGTCTCTGGGTTATTGCCAGTGCATTTAGCCAAGGAATGATTTAGGAATGCACATGTGAGTAGGGGAATTCAGGGCTGCTGAAACTGAAAGCATACTTTTTCCATCGTCCCCCTCTCACAAAATGTTTCTGATAGGATCTAATAAAACAGGGATCAGTGGGTCTGTTGAATTACTTGTCTTGAGGATGGGTGATAGATTTCATACTGGGGAGGTTAGACCTTAACGTGGGTGGATCGCTGAATACTTACAGTAGATGTACTGTGTATATAGACTGAATTCTTTAGATAAATAAAGATTAAATAATACAATAAAAAATATTTTGTTGACACAGATATAAAAAATGTAAGAACGGTGCCATCATACTGCACTGTTGTATTTCACCGAAAGGGAAGGTGTAGCTAACCTTTTCCATACATCTGTATTTGTAATGTTCATGTATGGGGGATTCCACTAGTTCCGCTTAGGGTTAAAGAAAATACTAGACCTTTTGTTTGAGTTAATGCCCCTAACTTTAATACAAAATCCAACTTTATTATCACTCATCAAACCTGTTATTAAACAGATTTAAGTTGACATGTTGTGGAAGCTGTCAGGGTAATCAAACAACACGGATCACAGTGGTGTAATTACAAACTAGGTGTGAAGACGAGATATCTCATGTAGGCTACCTCATGTGCTCTGGCCACTGCCAAGTTTTACTTCCATGTTCACCCCCAAGGCCCCAACTGAATAGCCAACGCCACCTGAACTGACTGCTTGCATCATCTTGATGAGCTCTGGGTTTTAGTGGTCAAACTGGGCACCAGTTTCCAGACTGATTCCTTGCCAGTGCCCACCGCAGACTGCTACCGCGCCACCATTTTGTGTATTTTTTTTCCTCCTATGTAATTTTCTTGATCAAAAGAGATGCAACGTTAGCGGAAAGATGTCCCTAGTCTTAACTGACGATTCAATCTTCATGAGATTGATTTCATTAAAAGAGCTGAAATGTAATTAGGCATCCTTAATATTAAGCGTGGTATCCTGTATGGTTTTATTAACTTAATCTATTAAAGTTTACACCTTCAAAGGGGAAGAAGTGAATTATTATTGACCTATGTCTATGTGACATCTCAATGTTATCAAACAATGAAAGACAAAGTACTTCAAATTGCACGTTTCATATCACTTTTAAAAAGGGGCAGTGTTCTTTTATGGGGAAGCGATACTCGACACTGTACAACTCTAGAAATAAAGCACTGGCCCTAACCCAACTAGATGCCTTGATGCCTTTGGCAGCCTGACAGTTTCTTCAGGCTGATTGAAAAGCCTCGTCCGATTTGCAGAGCGCCCTTGGGGCCTTGATGTGGCCGTAGGTCCTGATTGGCATGTTGGTGGCGGTGAGGTCACGGACGGGGCTGTCGTTGAAGACTGGTGGAAAGTGTAGGAGTGGTGTGACAGGGTGATGCCACCCCCAAGGAACCTGTGGCTTTACCCCAGCACGAACATGCACTTTGTTGTGGACCACGGAGAGCCAATGGCACATCATCTGTGTGTCCCTGTGTGTGACTGTGCTATGGCCAGGAGCCTGAGTCAGCAAAGCCACGTATTGGCTCCGTCTCTTCAAGAAGAACTGTGTGCGCGTGCATTTCTGGGGAGAGGGGCGCATAGGACCAAATTAGAGACCTCCCATGAGCGTGCAGTAAAGGTCTGTAAACACAGCCTATCAATTACCACAGCCAAAGTAGTCCTGAAGACTTAAGCTGTCTTATTCTACCCCTTTAATGTTCTCCTCACTCAAAAGCCATATAGGAAACCAGCATGTGTTTGATGGTTAAGAGGACAGTCATTTTCAAGGAGACTTTGGGGGGGTGGAAATAAGCCACCAGACCCATTGTCTAGCCCGTGGCATGTGCACTCTACAATAAAAAATAGTTATCCAGGCGAGTCGGGGTAATTTAGACTGGTGTGTAGACTGGATTAAAGAGTTCCGTTAAGTCAAATATTTTTAAAGAAATGTCATATTACCGAGAAGTAATATCTTGAAGTTTATTAGGTCTGTTAAAGTTGTTTTGAAGGGGTCAAAAGTCTTTAGTTTTATTCACATGAAAACATTCTGTCAAACGAACAATATGAATTCCCACATTTAGAAAGCGAACAGTTGAGTTTCACTAGAAGTAAACATGTTATGATATTTAAAGTGTGTGTGGCAGCAACATGTGGGTGTCTGTGTTAGACACTTCATAACTACCAAATTTGGCACTGTATTTCTCAAACCACCGTCACATGTTAAAGGAATTACAAATGTCAGTAGTGCATTTCAAACCCACGTCACGTAACAATACTATTGGGCTCAGTTCACCATTGTTCCAAGTGCATCTGGTTCCCCCTAGCAACCACAGAAACACTGCTCCACCGTAGGCGTTGCACTTAATTGCTCTTAAAGCAGATATGATTTAAGGCAAATGAAAACCAGATACGCTGGGCTTAGGGGGCAAGCGGTTTCATCACTCCATGTCTAATGTTCCACACCACACTGTTTCCATAACAAACTGTGTTTTTTTTATTGTTATCATTACAGAAATTGAGGCTGTGTTCTTTAGGCTAAAGAGTGCGATTTTGGAGAGGTTTCCACTAACAGACAGTACAGATCTCGTTAAATCCGGCCCATGCTGCGTGCTTGCCCTCGTCGTAAAAGTGAATTCACACAGTCCACATACATACATACATACATACATACATACATACATACATACATACATACATACATACATACATACATACATACATACATACATACATACATACATACATACTGTACATATAGTACCAGTCAAAAGTTTGGACAAACCTACTGATTCCAGGGGTTTTCTTTATTTGTACTATTGTCTACATTGTATGGAATCATGTAGTAACCAAAAAAGTGTTAAACTGATTCTTCAAAGTAGCCACCCTTTGCCTTGATGACAGCTTTGCACACTCTTGGCATTCTCTCAACCAGCTTCATGAGGAATGCTTTTCCAACAGTCTTGAAGGAGTTCCCACATATGCTGAGCACTTGTTGGCTGCTTTTCCTTCACTCTGCAGTCCAATTCATCCAAAACCATCTCAATTGGGTTGAGGTCGGGGGATTGTGGAGGCCAGGTCATCTGATGCAGCACTCCATCACTTTCCTTCTTGGTCAAATAGCCCTTACACAGCCTGGAGGTATGTTTTGGGTCATTGTCCTGTTGAAAAACAAATGATAGTCCCACTAAGCGTGAACCAGATAGGATGGTGTATCGCTGCAGAATGCTGTGGTAGCCATGCTGGTTATGTGTGCCTTGAATTATAAATAAATCACTGACCATGTCACCAGCAAAGCACCATCACACCTCCTCCATGCTTCACGGTGGGAACCACACATGCGGAGATCATCCGTTCACCTACTCTGCGTCTCACAAAGACACGCGGTTGGAACAGAAGATCTCTAATTTGGACTCATCAGACCAAAGGACAGATTTCCACCGGTCTAATGTCCATTGCTCGTGTTTCTTGGCCCAAGCAAGTCTCTTCTTCTTATTGGTGTCCTTTAGTAGTGGTTTCTTTGCAGCAATTCGACTATGAAGGCCTGATTTCATGCAGTCTCCTCTGAACAGTTGATGTTGAGATGTGTCTGTTACATGAACTCTGTGAAGCATTTATTTGGGCTGCAATCTGAGGTGCAGTTAACTCTAATGAACGTATCCTCTGCAGCAGAGGTAACTCTGGGTCTTCCTTTCCTGTGGCGGTCCTCATGAAAGCCAGTTTCATAATAGCGCTTGATGGATTTTACAAACTGCACTTGAAGAAACTTTCAAAATACTTGAAATTTCCGGATTGACTGACCTTCATGTCTTGAAGTAATGATGGACTGTTGTTTCTCTTTGCTTATTTGAGCTGTTCTTGGTCTTTTACCAAATAGGGCTATCTTCTGTATACCACCCCTAACTTGTCACAACACAACTGATTGGCTCAAACGCATTAAGAAGGAAAGAAATTCCACAGATTAACTTTTAACAAGGCACACCTGTTAATTGAAATGCATTCCAGGGGACTACCTCATGAAGCTGGTTGAGAGAATGCCAATAGTGTGCAAAGCTGTCATCAAGGCAAAGGGTGGCTACTTTGAAGAATCTGAAATCTCAAATATATTTAGATTTGTTTAACACTTTTTTGGTTACTACATGATTCCATATGTGTGTTATTTCATAGTTTTGATGTCTTCACTATTATTCTACAATGTAGAAAATAGTAAAAATAAAGAAGAACCCTGGAATGAGTAGGTGTGTCAACTGTACGTACACACATACATAAACAAGTACACAATCCGTTGTGTGTGAGAAGGAGTGCGGATGTCATGCTCACCTCTACTCAAAACTCAGATTCCTGAACAGATAAGCAGTCAGAACTTGGCTTGAGCGAAGAAACCAAACTCCATACAGCTGTGTGCTTCCCATTGTAAATGTATGTGTGTTTAAGATGTTTATTTACGACTCATACTGCCAAGCATAGCACCAGAGGAACTTAACGTCTCCTTACAAACACACAATCTTTGGTCTGAGGGAACTAAAATAAGGAAACTTATCCTTGAGCTGGTTCTGCTGGTTTTAACAAGAGTTGTCTCTACTTATTGTCTTTCTTCTGTTTGTTTTATAATGGGTGGAGCCAACTCCCACAAGACGAATCACTGTTTATTTTGATTGGCTCTTGGAGTAATATTAAAACGTTAATGAATTGTGTGTGTTTTGAGGTCAAGATGGAAGGGTAGGGAAAGGACTTCTCTGTAAGCATTCGCTTAGCTTTTATGGCCAAACCAATGTTTATAGATCAGTCAATATTCATGTATGACTGTCAGCGAAATGTATGTTGTTACTGATGAGATCACTAATTATTATTTTAATTTTATTTTTTTCTCCAGATTACCAGCTCCGAACCCAATAGAAGCTGCAGCAGGGGAAGGAAGGACCCATATTTCCAGGATGTATAATTACCTATAGTCCTATGTCATGGGCCGTTGTTGTCAAATGTCTTAATATTTGTTTTCATTTCCATCTTTAAAGTTTGGTTCAAGTTTAGTGCCATAATATGAAAATGATACTCCTCTGAAAATTCCGAATTTAGGCTTTTATTTGTTTACAGTTGTACTCCTCCAAAAGCAGTGAAATGTATAATATGTCTAGAGTTACGCAAAGGTAGGTCAGTTGCAAATAATGAATACAATTATTGATACTTTACTTCCTTGTGGTCTAGCGTTCGAAGCTGCTGCCTCCAGATCACATATACCGCTGCAGCATGGGTTTGGATCTGTACCACTGCTATGTCCTCTCTCCTTCCTCTCTATATCTTTCCTGTCCAATAAAAACAGAAAATATGTGAGTGGGACTGCCACACTCCTTTAAAAAAAAAAATATATATATACTTTCCCCCTTTTCCATCTAAATTACCTGCTTGAAATGTTATTTCATAGGTCAATTTCAGGTGTTACAAGTTGAGTGTGACCAACGAAACAGTACAGTGTTATAAGAAGCTAATGTGAATTGACAAACTGCGTTCTTCATTTCTCTGTTCCATTTACTTGGTGATAGCCTGACTCAAAGCTGAAAAAGCTCTTTAATCTATTTTGTCTGGTCAGGCTTCATCAGACATCAGTCTGTGTGGCTGTTATGATGAGATAAGGTGCATTGGTACATTCATGCAGATCAAAGTGAGCACTTAAAATAGACAATGTAATAAAATATGTGCCACATTAGTTTTTATGTTTGTGTCATGACTCCAAAAGTACAGTTCCTTTAGGCCACCATTACCCCTATGAAGAATACAATCCTGAATGTTTATTAAGGATGTATTAATTGCTAATTATCTGATTCATTTAAAAACATTTTGTGTTTTTCCGTTTGTCATTTTGATCTTTCATTTGTTTTTTGGTTTCTTATCCTCACAGTGGTCAGTGGAATTAAGCTAGCTATTAAATGGTTATACGTGTACACTCACCGGCCAATTATAGGAACATCACCCTATTCACGAAAATGGATCGCTCCTACAGACAGTCAGTCATGTGGCTGTGGCTTGTTATAGAAAGCAGGCAGACAGGCATTCGGTTACTGTTCGATTTAACGTTAGAATGGGCGAAACGAGTGACCTAAGCGACTTTGAACATGGTATGATTAGGGCTGTGGCGGTTACGAAATTTCATCAGCCGTTGATTGTCAAGTAAATAACTGCTGGTCTCATGGTAGTTGACCGTTAATTAACATAAACACATTTTGCATCTCCTGGCTTCCAAGCACAGCCTACAAGGCACTGATGCAGACCTTTTGGAACATCTACATTTTAAAAAGTCTAATAAATCCATGTAATATAGCTTACACCTTCACAATAAATCCATTATTTATTTTAGACAGGTCTAAAGAAACATGATATGAAGAAAATGTATTCTATTTCAGAATAATAGAATAGCATACTCTGAGTTGTCCTTATGTTAGGTCCTCATCTGGCTATACATTTTACATTTTAGTCATTTAGCAGACGCTCTTATCCAGAGCAACTTACAGTTAGTGGCTATGCCATATGGCTGTGGGCTACACTAGTTCATTTAGCAGACAAGATTTGCTTAGAATTCCGTAGCATTATTTTATAGTATGAAGAATACAATTGAACAAAGCTGAATAAAATGGAAAGGATATTTTCTCCAAACGATTTGAGGGAGTGCGCACACGCGGCTATTCTGTGTTGAGCGTTAACAAAGAAATAGGTACTCCTATATACTAGTTATTAATGTAACTTTAGTTGTTCTACAAATGTTGGGCTATATGTTTAGATTTTTAATACATTGTAAGGCTGCATGATGTGACTCTAATGATGATGTGTCTCTCATTCACAATTTGACAAGCACTTGATAATGCCTCAAATTTCCTGGCGGCATCCGCTTTGTGTGGCAGTAATGCCCCTAAAAAAATCCATGCCTTTTGCGGCCAGTGGCCGTTGTGCCCTTGGGCTGAATATAATAATGATAATTCCCTTCTCACTCACATGGCTCTCTTATCACGTGATTGGGTCTTTCTCACAGGCTTCAAGTGAAGACCAACACATCAGGGACACAACTGCGCGCGTACTTACCAAATTCCTAAGTGCATATTGAAGATATTGGAAGAACTGTCCACATTTACTTTTTGTCAGCCAGCAAGATGAGTAGGCCTAACGAACAGCAAAAGCACTAGCCTATGTCAATCTACTATCCCCCATAGTGCAAAAGTGGACCTATTCTAGTCTGTGCGAGAAATAAATATTCCAAACATTGTTCTGATCTGTTGTGGGATGCGATAGATCCCAAATTAATACAACCACTAGCATCAAAAAAACTGTTTTACGCAATGAGGCTGACGCAACAGATCAGAACGTTTAGCTTAAAATGTTGATCAACTATTAGGCTATTGCTTCACATTATAAGTGCAGAAATGCGCACACAGCAGTAGGCTATAAGCAGAAAACACCATTATCAAGTGACCCTAAATGCGATTATGCAATGCTTTTATTATAAAGGTGCATTTTCTGTGTGAAAATTATCTTCCCCAAACTTGTATGCCAGTTAGGCTCTACACCCCTTATAAAGCGGATTAATGTGCTTAATTCTAAGAAGTTATTTGCCCACTTTAGTTGTGATACAAACCTTATCAAAACATATAGGACTATGGGCTAGGCAACAAACATATAGGCCTATGGGCTAGGCTACAAACATATAGGCCTATGGGCTAGGCCACAAACATATAGGCCTATGGGCTAGGCTACAAACATATAGGCCTATGGGCTAGGCTACAAACATATAGGCCTATGGGCTAGGCTACAAACATATACAGTGGGGGAAAAAAGTATTTAGTCAGCCACCAATTGTGCAAGTTCTCCCACTTAAAAAGATGAGAGAGGCCTGTAATTTTCATCATAGGTACACGTCAACTATGACAGACAAAATGAGATTTTTTTCCCCAGAAAATCACATTGTAGGATTTTTTATGAATTTATTAGCAAATTATGGTGGAAAATAAGTATTTGGTCAATAACAAAAGTTTCTCAATACTTTGTTATATACCCTTTGTTGGCAATGACACAGGTCAAACGTTTTCTGTAAGTCTTCACAAGGTTTTCACACACTGTTGCTGGTATTTTGGCCCATTCCTCCATGCAGATCTCCTCTAGAGCAGTGATGTTTTGGGGCTGTCGCTGGGCAACACAGACTTTCAACTCCCTCCAAAGATTTTCTATGGGGTTGAGATCTGGAGACTGGCTAGGCCACTCCAGGACCTTGAAATGCTTCTTACAAAGCCACTCCTTCGTTGCCCGGGCTGTGTTTGGGATCATTGTCATGCTGAAAGACCCAGCCACGTTTCATCTTCAATGCCCTTGCTGATGGAAGGAGGTTTTCACTCAAAATCTCACGATACATGGCCCCATTCATTCTTTCCTTTACACGGATCAGTCGTCCTGGTCCCTTTGCAGAAAAACAGCCCCAAAGCATGATGTTTCCACCCCCATGCTTCACAGTAGGTATGGTGTTCTTTAGATGCAACTCAGCATTCTTTGTCCTCCAAACACGACGAGTTGAGTTTTTACCAAAAAGTTATATTTTGGTTTCATCTGACCATATGACATTCTCCCAATCCTCTTCTGGATCATCCAAATGCACTCTAGCAAACTTCAGACGGGCCTGGACATGTACTGGCTTAAGCAGGGGGACACGTCTGGCACTGCAGGATTTGAGTCCCTGGCGGCGTAGTGTGTTACTGATGGTAGGCTTTGTTACTTTGGTCCCAGCTCTCTGCAGGTCATTCACTAGGTCCCCCCGTGTGGTTCTGGGATTTTTGCTCACTGTTCTTGTGATCATTTTGACCCCACGGGGTGAGATCTTGCATGGAGCCCCAGATCGAGGGAGATTATCAGTGGTCTTGTATGTCTTCCATTTCCAAATAATTGCTCCCACAGTTGATTTCTTCAAACCAAGCTGCTTACCTATTGCAGATGCAGTCTTCCCAGCCTGGTGCAGGTCTACAATTTTGTTTCTGGTGTCCTTTGACAGCTCTTTGGTCTTGGCCATAGTGGAGTTTGGAGTGTGACTGTTTGAGGTTGTGGACAGGTGTCTTTTATACTGATAACAAGTTCAAACAGGTGCCATTAATACAGGTAACGAGTGGAGGACAGAGGAGCCTCTTAAAGAAGTTGTTACAGGTCTGTGAGAGCCAGAAATCTTGCTTGTTTGTAGGTGACCAAATACTTATTTTCCACCATAATTTGCAAATAAATTCATTAAAAATCCTACAATGTGATTTTCTGGATTTTTTTTCTCTCAATTTGTCTGTCATAGTTGACGTGTACCTACAGGCCTCTCTCATCTTTTTAAGTGGGAGAACTTGCACAATTGGTGGCTGACTAAATACTTTTTTTCCCCACTGTAGGCCTATGGGCTAGGCTACAAACATATAGGCCTATGGGCTAGGCTACAAACATATAGGCCTATGGGCTAGGCTACAAACATATAGGCCTATGGGCTAGGCTACATGAGGTGTGTGAGCGACTATTATTCGAAAAAGTAGCAAAAAAAGGCATTGTTTCTTGCCTTACGCTGGGCATCATTCACAAGTGATAATATATAATTCACAAGTGATAGGCTAATATTGTCACCCATCAGACTATTCTTGATTTAATCTTGTCTTTACATATACTAAATAATATATGTGTGAAATTTGTTTTGATTTAGAATGGACCATTATCATGCCCCTGGGTTGAAACAGGGGCAGGGGAAAAAATACATGTAATCTCTGCAGTTAAATAGCAAATGGCGGACGCTTTTCTGTAGTTCATTTTTTTTATGCCAGCCAGTTAGGCTATACTCCTGTTGTAAAGAGAATCAATGTGCTTAATATTAGGAAAGTTTAGAAATAATTATAGTAGGCCTAGCCAATAGAAAGCTGATGGGATCCTCCTCTTTATAACAGAGGCCACCACTCTGTTTTCTCACGCAATTGCATAGCCTATAGAAATGTTGCGCAACATGAGCTCATGGGCTGTCATGAAGTGTTTGATTAGATTTTCGATTACATTTGCATTGATGTCAGAGTGATTAGAGGGACAATAGAGTGCTGAGTAAAAGGCAGTTAGCACGTTTGGTAGGCTACTAATGACCATCAGCAGCATCAGAGCTTGGAGAAGACTAATTACCGTGACTAAACGGTCACATGGAATTTGACTGCCTTGATGACTTGTGACCGCCGGTGTGGCGATAATACGTCACCGTAACTGCCCTAGGTATCAGCAGTGCCAGGCGCGCCAGATCCAGTATCTCAGAAATGACCACCCTCCTGGGCTTTTTATGCACAACAGTCTCTGGGGTTTACCGAGAATGGTACGACAAACCAAAAAACATCCAGTCAGCGACAGTCCTGTGGGCAAAAACAGCTTGTTGATGAGCGTGGTCGAAGGAGAATAGCAATAATCGTGCAAACTAACAGGCGGGCCACAAACAGACAAATAACGGCGCAGTACAACAGTGGTGTGCAGAACGGCATCTCGGAATGCACAACTCATCGATCCTTGTCATGGATTGGCTATTGCAGCAGACGACCACACCGGGTTCCACTCCTATCAGCTAAAAACAAGAAGAAGTGGTTCCAGTGGGCATGCGATCACCAACACTGGACAATTGAGGAGTGGAAAAACATAGACTGGAACATGACAGCGAGTTCAGTTTACTTGAATGGCCTGCGCAGTCCGCAGACCTCAACCCAATAGAGCAGGGGTGTCAAACTCATTTTAGCTC